TGGCTATCCTGCCATGCACTCGGTAAAAATAGTAAATTTTTTGAGAAAGTATCAGCGTATGAACACCAACTTCGTTTTCAACAAAGACCATGATATTACAAGTACAATTTGGCTTCGTGCTCCCAAGCGCGCACGAATATATAGTTAATACAAATGTATGACACTTGTTTTGTTTTGAGCAAATCCGTAAAACTAATGACTAGTACTTCTTGTGGTACTTTTACTAAGAGTGGTTTTTTTCAACAATTCTTTAAGTGAATAGTCTAGAAAACGTTTACTAAACTATATCCAATTATACCGTGGCTTGGCAGCCCAGCGCAAAAACATGTAGGCAATAACAAAGAACGCCGTACCTACTGCAATGTCAATTACTATAGCCTGCCAAATTGGAACTGCATCAAGCGCATAGGCAGTTATTACATGCTCGCCAGTCTTATAGCAGAGGTCTTCGTTAGCCTCGCATGTAAACTCTAGACCATTAAACTCATTTTGCGATAAACCTATATAAGAAAGATAAAAGATACTAATGTATCTGACCCAACGAAGTATTGGGGTTATTGAATCAGTGTTGGCAAAATTTCCAGTGAAAAGTGAAAACCATCCTAATACAACTGCCGCGAGAACACCGGCAACCTCGACTTTATCAACAACCACTGCCATCATAAAAGCAAACCCGATAGAACAATAAATAATTATTATAATAATCGCCAGACCAATAAAGAAATTGCTTGCCTGGTATTGCAAGTGGGAAAGTAAATATATGCCAATATACATGATTACATATGATACGCAAAGTATCGGAAAAAGGCTGAGCGACCTAGCAAAAAAGTAGGTTGTCATTCTGTACATGCCAGCTGTTCTTTCTCGAAACAACAGACTGCGTCCATTCATAATAAGTGCCAACGTGGGCATGGCAACGGGAATGGAGCTAGAAATAACAAGCAAAACAAGCACACCAATGCGGTTCTGTACCGATGCTTGATCCTTGTCAAGCTGGAAGAACACAAATCCAGCAAACAACATTGTCACTACTGCCTGCAAAAGCATACCATATATAAAGGAATGGTTACGCATTGTGACATCCCAATCACGCTTGAGCAAAA